TGAAAACCAATTTACTTCATCTTCTATGTTGAAAATTAGTTTTGTTAAAACAAAAGTCACTAGACGAAGATTCTACTTAAAACTTCCAATAACATTCTTGCGAAAACGTTTTTTAAAGAAAAATTCCTTTGAATTCGAACACACACATTCAACCCCCCCCCCTTCTGTGTGTATTTCCGCTAACTTCATCTTTTTATTTTAGGAATTATTGTATAGTTTACTTTTGACCTTGTATTTTAGGTTAAGTAGTTTAGGAAAATTTTTAGGTAGAAGGAATCTAATGTTCATTAGAATGTAATTTAGGGCCACATTTCATGTGCATTTGAAGCATGCATGATTGGTCATGCCTAGGTGCCATCTACATGCCTCAAATCCACATGAAATGTTGTCTAAATTACATTTCAAATGAACACACGGTTCATGTGAGGGTGTGCAAGCTAGTGTGACTGGCCAAGCCACCCAAATTTGAATTTCAAATTCAAATTTGGGCGGCTAGGGTTTAAAGTAACCATACCATGGTTTCCTTTAAACCCTAGTTAGGCTTAGCTTCTCCCACAAGCTTTTCCACCCTATATATATTCCTTGGATGTGTAGCTGAAGAACTTTTGATGTATTTGAGATTTCCTATTTATAAATTTCTCTCTCAAGAGTTTTTTAAACTTGGAGAACACTTTCTCTTTAAGAACATTCACAAAGGAATCCTTCCTTTGTGCCTTTGGTTCCTTTCTAATGGAAGACCTCCTAGCATTGATGGAAGAAGGATGATCAATGAGAGGACTCCTAAACTCCATGGATCTTAGTTCTTCAAACGCCTAGCCTTGGATGCTGGTGGTGACCGAAAATGGGAGAAAGATTGAAGGTGTTTGATGGAATGTTTGAGAGGTACTCTAGGGTTTAGCTCACTCCAAAGTAGATGAAGGCCACTCCTAGGGTTTTTACTCAAGGTGGAGATAGGTAGGGTTTTTGGCCGAAAATGACCAAGAGAGACTAAGGAAAATATAAAGGCACAAAAGGCTCACTCTATATTAATTTCCAAAGTATTTACAAGGAGGCTAGCCTAGGGTATTTATAGAAGGGAGGATGCATTTAGGGTTACATTTGAGAGTGCATGGCCAAGTAATGCAATCCAAATGCACTTCAAATGAAACATAAATTAACCTTAGATGCTACTTGGTAGCCAAGGATGGAATCTTTGGATTTGGTTAAGCTACATCTAGGTGCATGATAAGACCATGCAACCTAGGTGCCCTCCACTTGGGCGTAAGCCTTGCCAAGTCCAAAAATAAATCCAATGCCACCAAAAAACATGTCTAGGCCTAGTTTCCAACCTTAATAAAATACCCTAGTTATAAAATAAAATCCTATAATCTAAGACACCCCATAATACAAGAGTAAAATAAGAAATACAAGTAAAAAATAAATCTTATGACTAAGACACCCCAAAATACAAGGGTAAAATAAGAAATTAAAGACAAGGGCAAAACTAGGAATAAATCCTATACTAATAAAAACTTAGGAGCTAAGGCCCAAAATTAGTCCCACTCCTCTTATGGTTTTCAAAACTAACCCATTCTTCTTGCCTCCTTCAATATATCACCTATTGGTCTTCTTGGCCTTAGTATAATTCCATCACTTTCTTCTCCTTTAGGAGAGTGACGCACCAAAGCAGAGCATTCCTCTACATTTCCATGGCTTCATAAGCATTGAAGACCTCAAGAAAGATTATAGAGCAAGGAGAAGTCAAGAGGAAAACCTAAGCTTCATCTTCTCAAGGCTACTCCATCATTTTTGGTATCTAGAGCCATGGTTGCTCTTGAGGTCATGTGTCACTTTTCATTTTAGTTTTTTCAGTCCAGATTTGAGTTCCTTCTTGTCTTGATGTGTTCGTGTTGTTTAAATCTAAATCTTGCTTGTTAATTGATAGATCTACATGTCTTTTAAATTGTGGTTCACAAAGTGATTTGAATTTGCCTTTTGAACCAATCCATGTAGTCCTATTAGGTTTCTTGTGCTAAGTACTTTTTAAGTTTGTTTGAGTCTTTTTTTTATTACTTGATTCGAATATAAACATTGTTATTAGCATGTGTTTTGATTTTTGAATCCTAAAGTTTTGTCTAGAGTCTTGTGTAGTCCTTTACATGTCATAAATTCCTAGACTAGCTTGTTTTAGCTTATAGTTTTAGTATGTTCTAAATTTTGTTTTGGTTTGAATCTAAATTTGTTTTGGCTGAACCTAATTGTGCTTTGAGTTCTTTTTACTTTCATTATTGAGTTTATATTTGCTATTAGACCTAGCAAATTCTTAGAGTTAGGTTTCTATTATGTCTCCTTAAATAGTTTGTTAAGAAAAGTTTCTTAAAATCAATTTGCTTCTTAGTTTCTCTCTAATCCGAATCCTATTTCATTTTTTATAAAAAGAAATGAGAGAAAAACAGAGGTTCAAAGTATATGTGCATGTGAAAAAAAATCAATGACTAAACATATTGTGAAAAATGTTGTTTACTAGTTTGCAAATTACAAGTTGAACATTTTTACTTGTTGTTCTTTCTTCTACTTCATTCTCTTTTTGAAACCAAGGTTATCATACATTGGAAAAAGGCATTTAACTCCTGAAAGTGTAAAAAATATAGAGAAAAAATAAATCAAAAAGAAAAAAAAAACAAAGAAGAGTTCGAAAACAAAAACAAAAGCCAAAAGGAGTGAAATAATTTTCATTAAGTGCTCTCGATTTCTTTGATTTTCCAGCAACCTTGTGCAGTTTTTAAATTCTATTTTAAGCCTTCTTTACTTCAAAGAGAGGAGATATATACTTGTGAGGAGCATTTGGAAGGAGTGGTGGCTGTTTGGAACATTGAAGAAATTTTTTTTGTAAAGAAATTGTGCAAACAAGATTTAGAAATAGAATTAGAGACAGAAATTTCCATCACTAATAGTTTTCCTCACTAAACCTGTCCTTAAATCCATTGTAAATTGGTGGTTGTTTTTGTTTTGTAATATTTGACCAGCCACTTCATTTACATTCATTGTACTTTTGGTTTTAAATTTTGTAAGGGTCTTTGGGAGTGTCTTAAAGGTGTCTTTAGTACATCTTCATCTCTCCCTAGTGTTCCCTTAGTTAATTTCATTTAGAATTAGTGGGAGTGGTGCTTGAAAGCTTTAAGTGCTTCTCAAGCTCCCACTTAGGTTTATTGCTTTACACGCCTAGTTTACTTCTTGTTTCTTTAACTTGTGCGTTTTTTAGGTGGTGTTACTAAGGTTCCAAAGGCCAAAGTAGCACCTAGGACACGTTTAAGTAGATTCATACCATAGTTGAAATTTTGTTTACATTGTTAATTGAAAATTATTTGTGAAAATTGATTTTATGAGATAAGGTACAAGGGGATTTAGTAATTTTTACTTGAAGAGGCTTGGTTATTAAGTGACTCCTTATAGCTCACCTCCCTCCAATGTTCAGTTTGTATACTTAGACCTCCAAGTACTAAGTTTTGCACTTAATTTTATTTTTGGTTGCTTCTTTTAAAAACTCTTTTAAAGAAAAATTATTTTGTCTAAGATGTCTCATAATTTCAACTATAGTGAAAGTGATAGCTTTCTAAAATGTATTTCTCACATTGCTAAAGAGCTAAAATCACTTAAACTATGGAGGAAGCAAGAAGCCATTTTGAAAGAAAAAAGAAAAGATTGAAAGAGGCTTAACTTGTTATTTTAGAGGAAGAAATGAGATTACTTTGGCAAGAAAAATAAAAGTCGAGCAAAGAAATAAATGGAAAACATAGGAGTAGGAGCACCCGCTCACAATATTCATCCCTAAATGAAAGCTTGAGCTTAGGAGACCATTATCAACCTATCCCTAGGAAACCCCTTAAACCAAGGGAATCCAAGGTGGATGTCCTTCAATTCCATGGGAAGGATGATGTGGAAGCCTACCTTGATTGGGAGATGAAGGTAGAGCAACTCTTCACTTGCCACCATGTGAGTCAAGAGAGAAAGGTTCCCCTTGCAACCTGATGGAAATCTAATCCCCAAGGATCCCTTTGGAA